ATGGTTAACGTCGGTCCCTAAAAATAGGAGACACGTTAAAAATGACATCAATCCCTAAATCTAAGAGATTTTGTCTAAAATATCGACGTTTGTCCCTAAAAAGGAGAGTTACGTCTGATTTACCAAAAGAAATAAAAATGGACATAATCATATTTGGTATTTAAATTTTTAACATCTGTCCTTTTTTATAAATAAAAAAGACGTGTCGACAAATAATATTTATTTTATAAAACAAAAATTATTTTGATATCATTGAGAAATGGGTATATCTATTCTTGAGAATCGGGTTTTGACCTATGAACAGTGACATGATAAAATGGGTGTTGGATCCACATCGCTATTTTTTTTAATTTTTTTTATTTTTTTACATGCAAAAATTTACAAGTATTTATATATAAAAATATCAAAAATAATATAAAAAGCATAAAAAATTTACCTGAGTGCCACTATATAGATAAAAGACTGAAATACCCTCGACTTTCGTTGAAATTTATGAAAATTCCACTGGCAACGTGTGTGGCTCACGCGCGGCACTATTGCCAGCTGCGAAATTTTCAGATGAGATTCCAGCCAACAGATGGTTGATTCTGGTAAATCTGAGGAGGGGGATTCTGATGGTGGTGGTCTCGATGATCGTTGATGGCTGATGAGGGAAAATCGACGACTTGAAGCTCAGTTGGCTGATGACTGTCGCGACCTTTTTTCGGCCAAAATCGCTAGTGAAATCATGTAAAATGGCCAGGGATTTGCTTCAGAGGAGGCGATACACCTTTCTGTGGTGGTTTGGCCGCTTAAAACGGCCGAAAATAGAAGATCGATGAAGAGAGAGAGAATCACCATAAAGAGAAGAGAGGGTCTCTGAGTTTTGATACAGTGTGGACGAGCGTATGGTGCACCGGTGTGTCTGAAGCCTGTGAACTGTTGGATCACGGATGAACAGATCGTGCTGCTGTGATTGGCTTGATCTGCAAGTTGATCGGATGGTCAGGATGGACTGGGCTATGATATGGTGTGTCGTGGTTTACCGAGTGTTTGGTACACCTGATGACGTGGCGCAACAGGATCAAAGAGCAGATTATTTTAAAGGCTGAGATGGATTTGGGTTTTAATCTAGTGTGGTAAAGCCTATTGTATCCTAAGAAATCAAAGGCTTAGATTTAAATACTATTAAATCTAACGGTTGAGATATTTTTGGTATTTTTCAAATTGTTTTAAAAAAAAATCAATATCTTACTTGGGTGAAAAAAAAGTAAAAAAATAAATGAATAGTATCATAGTAATACAAATAGTTTGCTTTCGAATTTAGAATTTAGAATTTTCTTGTTTTCTGTTCTCCTTTTCCTGTTGGCTTGGTTTCATTGGCTATTTTAAGGGGATAGTGAATCACAGATTGTGCAGGTAATCACGTGATTGTGCAAAATTTTCAATGTACAGCTACACCGCCTACCATCTCCAGAAATCCTCCGCCTATTGTGACAAAATTAAATTATTTTTTTTATTTTATTATATATAATAATAATATTTATTTATAGGAATAAAATAAAAATTCAAATCAGTATTATAAAAAGTTTTTCAACTGCTAAAAATCAATTTTAATTACAAAAAAAATCTTTATACGGTTTTCTGACCAAAAATAGCCTGAAACTCATTTTTCATCGTGGTCGACATGGTGGGACCCGTATTGACCTAGTGGACTCGGTTTTGACCGAAAATGATGATTTTGACCCGAAACAGCCTGAAACTCATTTTTTTTATCCCGGTCGACATGGTGGGACTCGTATTGACCCGGTGGACTCGGTTTTGAGCGAAAATGACGGTTTTGACCCGAAACAGCCCGAAACTCATTTTTCATCCCGGTCGACATAGTGAACCCGTATTGACCCGGTAGACTCGGTGTTGACCGAAAATGACAGTTTTGACCCGAAACTTATTTTTTATCCCGGTTGACATTGTTTAACCCGTATTGACCTGGTGGACTCGGTTTTGACTGAAAGATGCGGTTGACTCGAGAAAATATATTTTAAAGTCTTTTTTTATTTATATTTTTTTATAAATAATAAAATAAAATAACATTCGAGAAAATTTTAGTGAATCTAAAATTGGGTTACAACACATTCTGTCCCCTATGTTCATCCTTTTTCTTTTTCTTTGAATTGTATTGACATTGAAACCCAGCTGAAACCATCGCTCACATCCCATCTTTCTTCTTTCCCTTTTTTTCTAGGACAAGGTTCTGTTCGTAAAGATGAAAATAGAAAATGAAACACACCCCTGATACTAATGCTCACAGATATATGAGGTGATTATGGTGCCGTGGTGATCACATAGTTGGCTTGCTCAAGATCAACAGCAGAATTTCCATTCCGTTGGTTTTAAATGGATACTTTGGTTTTACGTTTTCTGTTTTTAACCAATCCATTTGCCACTTTGATTTCCACAATTCCATGGCAGGTTACAGAACGATCAACGAATAACATTACCTACCTTTTGATTAATAAATATAAAATATAATTAAAATATCAAAAATGATTTGTATTTTTTTTACTTATTCATATTGTTTTGATATACAGATTTTTTTTTAGTATATTGATATCCTTTTCCCAGCACTCTATGATTTAATGTTTTTAAACATTATTGAGAGCTTAGTTGGTTGATGGAGATCGCTGGTACATGCGCTTCCATTTTCAAGATAGATCACAATTTTTTTCCCCAAGAACTATCTTCCGTTGCTCCTGTCATTTATCACCATGAAAAACCTGACCTACCTTTTGCATGGAAACGAAAGCTGCTGGAGAACTGCATTAAAATCCAGATTGTGAAGCAATAATATGAAATTAGGGAAGGAAATATATACTTAGAAAGAAAAAAGAAAATTGCTAAAATAAATAGTGTTTTGTGACATGGTATCCAGTACAAACACTAAATCTTTTAATTTAATATTAATAATTAGAAAAAATAAAGAAAAAACATTATTAAAATAAATAATATTTTATAAGGTATGTAAGTTACAGTGTTTTTCCAATTTTTTTTTTTTTTTTTGATAACCCACTAGTTTTGCATGGCCGACGTGCGTTTCTACTTCCCTTCAAGCAACATGTGCACTGCTCATGTTTAATGAAATAAAAAAAGCATTTTGATTTTGCTGCGTTCTTAGTTAAACATGGAATTAATACCCTAGTAAAACGTGCAATGTGTTTTTTTTAAAAAAAAACACATATTTTTTTTAAATATTAAAAATAAAGAAAATCTGAAAAATATTATTAGAATAATATTTAGGAAAGGGAGGAAATCATGCTTTAAGATTAATATTAGTGAAAAAAAAATTTGGTTCTTTTTTTAATAGAATTACTGAAATAAAACTGTTGTCAATTCTCCATCTCAAGATATTAAGAAATATTAATGTCCAAGTAAAATGCAAGAAAACTCGAGCTCTTTCAAGTCATCTCCATGTTCTTTAACAAATTATTGTACTAGTTCTACTTCAAACCCTAGTTGCAGTTGAAATTGCTAAGCCTTGCAGTAGTTTTTCAGGTCAAATTCTTGTGCGCAAAACAATGTTTCTTATAATTCAAAAGATATTTCTATCTGGTAAGTTGCCTCATATATATTAGATTAGAAACATGTTATTCCTTACCCCAATTGTGAATTAATCTCACATTATCTAGCACCAGAAATGTTTCCAGACAATAGATTTTTCTACTACTTACGGTTTAATTCCTCAAAAGCCAAGACAATTTCATTGAGTATATCATCCCACGATCAGGAAAAAGAAAATAGCAAGAAAATATCATCTAAGAACGTTTCCATAGAGGCCAAAATATTTCATTTTCATACCAAAAATAAGTAGGGATGGGAAATCAATTTCTCAGGAAAACTCAAAAATATTCCATATCATGTGTTAATTTGATGGTAGCCGCGACATATATAAGATAAATATCAATGGAATGTGAATTGTAATATGTAGGCAACTGATGGCGGAGAGCCTATAAGTGGAAAAGTTCGAAAAATAAAAAAAAATATTATTTTAATATATGAATCCTCCCTCCGATTGGCTGCATTAATGTCATTAGTGAACATTCTTGCTCTGCTTGGTGGTTAGGATAGTTTTCTCGAACATTGTAATATGGACGGAGGCTCCTGCCTCGTCAAATCTTCCTCCCTGGCAGCTGCTGGGCACCGCGCTCGCCTTCGACTCTGCATTGATAAAATCTTATTTTAGAAAGAGAGAAGACCCCGCCCTCAGCCATGACTGTTTCTGCTAGCCAGGCTGGTATTATTTTCAAATCACCATTGATTACTCCTTAACAGCTTTTGTCGCTCTTCTTTTTTGTGTTAAAATCTATCCTTTCGTTGGACAAGATTGCGTGAGCGCAAGTCTTTCAGCTTAGGATTTTCCGCCAAGGCAAAACCAGATTCTACATTTCTGTGGTCGTATATTGTTAGCGGCCACATTTAGTCCAATATACCTAGTAGAAGATACACGGAAGAACTTCGGTGATAAAACTTTTTTTTTTTAACATTAAAAAGCATGCTGGTTTTATGAAATTACAAAGCGATCTTTAATATTTTAATTGTATTAGATATAATTTATTTGTTTTTAATTTAATTATTTGGCATATGATTTTTAATTTTTTAATTTTTATTTATTTTATTTTTAATTGTTTTCTAATTGAATTTTATTTTTTTATTTAATCCATAATTATTTTATTTTATTTTTATTTTTATGATTGTAATTTTTTTTTTTTAAGTTCTTTTATTAATTAATTGTTTTTTTACAAAACCAAGATTGAGAGTCGACCCCATTATATCCGAGTAAGTCAATATAATTGCTCATGAAGCTTTTGACAAATTCCTCCATACTTTTCCTGCTCCCCAGTACTAGGATTAGAGGGAAAAGCACCGAAGGATACCAACATAACATAGAATGATGCACGGAAATTATTGAAGTAATCAAGACTGGCCAACAAGTACATCCTTGTAAGGAGTTAGTGCAGGAATGGGTGCTGCTCTTGTTTCTTCGGCTGTCATTTTCCTCCTCCTCTCCTCTTCCACGATCAGTACTGGAGTTGGTGCAGGAATAGGCGCTGCTCTAGTTTCTTCGGCTATCCTTTTCCCCCTCCTCTCCTCTGCTAGGATTAGTGGTGCCTGGCCCTCCCACTCTCGTATCAAACGCTCTTGAGCTCCTCCTCGCAATTTCTCGAACCTTAGTCCATCAATTTGCTGCATCTCGAACACTTTGACTACATTTGTTAAACCCCCAATGAAGAACATTAGACTTCCAAAGAAGCCTATGCAGACCCAAGTCTTGCCCTGCATTTAAAAACTTTCTTCAGTCTAAACCTCCAGCTTTTTCCAAACAATTTGACTATTTGACACTAGTATTTTTTTTTTTTTGTTGCTCTACTCGTTGCGTAGCGCGTTCACCAATTTAGTTAAACAATAATCTGGGAACCAACCAAAGAGGAAAATAAATATAAGGGGCAAATGGAAGATTGAAAACAAAAGGTTTTTTTTTTTTTTTTTTTGTGGGGGTGGGGGTTGGGGGATGATCAAGTAGAAGATCATTCAGGAGAGGGAGGAAATTATACTTTAAGATTAATATTAGTAAAAAGAAATTCTGGGTTATTTTTTAAATAAAATTACTGTCGTTAAACTAAGTAAGTTTTTCATCCCAAGAAATTAATAAATATTATTGTCCAAGTAGAATGCAAGAAAACTCATTATCATTTATCTCCATGTTCTTGAACAAATTATGCTGACAGTTAACTTCTCCTCCTAATTGCAATTGAGATTTGTAATGTTTTTACAGTTCAATTAATTCTTACTAGTGCACAAATAAATTTGTCTTATAATTCAAATTTAAAAGGATTTTTATTTGATATCTGCCACATATTGGATAAAGAAACCCGTCCCTCCTTCCTCCAATTGTGAATTAATTCCTCAGATTATCTAACACCAAAAATGCTTCAGGGGACACATTATATATATACACATATATACACGGTGTGAATTTTGTGTTTGAATTAAACTAATATCTTCAATTAATGAATTTTTGGTTTTTTCTTTAATTCATTTTTTTCACTTTACTTGGAGTGGGTTTTTCTATTGTCAATTTGATTTTGCTGCGTTCTCGGTTAAACGTGGAATTAATGTCCCAAACCGCAGTGGACCGCCGGCAGAAAATCTAGTCAGATACTAACGGACTTGACCAATTAGGATAGATACTCAAGTATTGGAAAGAAGACTACATATAAGAATTAATTTCCTTCTCTTATATATATATATATATATATATAAAACCCTATTTTACACCTCTAAACTTATAAAAAAATCTCTTCTTTTTCTCTAGTAAAAAGAAGACAACAACTATAAGCCATAGTTTTAAAATCCAAAATTAATGACTCGGGGTATCTACATGACACCGGACCACACAAAGTTTGGCTCTCGCACAATTCCAAATCCTAGTAATTACTCATCTCTTTCATAATTTAGACTAGAAATATTGTCATCAAATTAGCTTGAAATCTTAATTCTGGAGCTTCCTTTAAGGACAATATTTTCTTCTAGCAGACCTCAACGTTTTATTTATCATCGAATAAACTAAAAAATTGATTTTAAAAAATATAATTTAATTGATTACATTTTAAATTTATTTTTTAAAAGTTACTAACTTGAATTTTACAAATTAAAAATTATTAAAAATTTATATAATTATTAATTTTAATATTTATAATATCAATGGATATATGATCTCATATAAATATTCATAATAATTAAAAAAAAAAAAAAAAACATTAGTCAGTCTATACGGGACCACAACGCATTCACTGAGCCACAAGGCGAATGATTGTGTCAATCTATATGAATAACGCCACGATATTAACTAGAGTGGATTGTTTAACGAGGAATAAAATGATTAGGGCATGTGTTTTTGTGCAATATAATATTTAGGCTATGGGACCACAAAGCATTCTCTGGGTCCATCAATTAAACAAAAAAGAACTTTTTGGTTGAACGTAAACAAAAATAAAAAAAAAAATAAACAAAATTAATCCGTCCGGCCCGCGGCGGGCCCCCGGTTCATTTCTGTGGATGATCCTCTTCATGTTATAAATGTTTTACTTTCACTTCTCCTTGATTTTAGCTTTTTTTACCTAAAAGATTTGGCAAAACTTAATTCTGATTATTTTTAAGAATTTATTTTTTAAAATAAAAAATAAAAATAAAATAATAGCTAACAACATAGAAAAAGCATACCAAAAAATCAAGCTATAATTTTTGAAAGAAATTTAAGGCCTAATTGTACTCCATTATATCCAAAAATGAATAAAAAATACAAATTAAATGTCAAATTAAATGGTTATTGGATGAATTTGTATAAAAATTAAGTCCAATGATATAATTAAATTTTTAATAGGCTAATTTGATTTAATCATGTACCAAATTAAATTTTAATTATGTTTAAAAATTAATTTGGATTCAATTGAAGAATTTAATTAAATACAAAGACTTAATTATACTTTAAATAAATCCAATTAATTTTATTTGAAACTTAATTAGTAAAAAATTAAATTTAAAAGCTTAATTTGAGCTTAATTAAGAAAATTAAAATTATACTTTAAATGCGTTCAATTCATATCTTCATTTTCTTGGTTCTTATGGAATTTGATAATTTTATTGCTGTCTTTTTAAATTTTATATATATATATATATATATATATATAAAACAAGTAAGTTTGGTAAGGAAAAAAATGGAAATTTCATTAATGAAAAAAAAAGGAGGAGGTTACATTATCTCTAACCAAAGAGTTTAGCAGATTTAGAGAACTCTTTTAGCTCATGTATTTCATGTATTTTAAAGTTGCAACATAGAATGATGCACATAAATTATTGAAGTAATCAAGACTGGCCAACAAGTACATCCTTGTAAGGAGTTGGTGCAGGAATAAGTAGTGCTGCTCTAGTTTCTTCGGCTATCGTTTCCCCCCTCCTCTCCCCTCCTAGGATTAGTGGTGCCTGGCCCTCCCTCTCTCGTCTCAAACGCTCTTGAGCTCCTCCTCGCAATTTCTCCAACCTTAGTCCATCAACATGCTGCATCTCGAACACCTTGACTACATTTGTTAAACCCCCAATAAAGAACATTAGACTTCCAAAGATGCCTATCCAAACCCAAGTCTTGCCCTGCATTAAGAAACTTTGTTAAGTCTAAACCTCCAGCTTTTCCCATACAATTGACTGTTGCCATTACCAAAACTCTAAGCAGTTTGTTTAAATTGCGCGATTAAACCATGCATCAAGTGAGCATATTGGCTAAGTAATTTCAGACACCTCGACTTTAATTAGATGTGGGTATTATGATGCAATAGCCCTCCAATGCGATTCGGGTAGCTTTTCCGTGCAATTCTTTCTGTTTTTGGCTTCTCTCAGTTTAATACCAAAAAATAAACAAGGCAGCTTACCAATAATTCCAGTCCATGATGACCCCATCCTGCGTGCTCACGAATATTGAGAATAGATCCCACCAAGAACAACGAACTTCCCATTAAAAATGGGATGTGGACACTCTGCTGCAAGATTTGCACATGCCCATCAGCTCTTTCATATATTTGGCATGAGTTGTGTAAGGATCCAAGCATCCAGAACGCTGGTCCTGCAGCAAGCAAGTTTAAAGCATGCCTTTCCAATTTGAAGTGATCATATCCTTTATATTCCTGCAAGTGTGGATGCAGGTCACAGAATCAATATTTGACATTTGACATAAAATTGATCCTACACCATCACTCGGCTGCAAATCAATCACTTGAATGAGGAAACCTCTATCCCTTTTATCTTATAATTGCTATATATAACAATTCCTACACTAAAATTGCTACTAGAATTCAGGGATTTTCAAGGCAATTGATTACTAATTAATATTTAGTACCTGAATAAAAAGAAAAAGAATACCCAAGAAAGAAAGCAAAGCCCCCAAGGCCTGAATCACAGGAACAGCAAATTCAACTAGTGCAAGCTGTGTGTCATACCCCATCAGACGCAACCGATAATCAATCCCGGCTAGATGGGCAACAAGATCATGAAGATTGACCACCGTAATAAGTAAGAGAGCTATGAGCAAAAGCACAAGACCTGGCTTGGTTTCCTTTGACAATTCAGCCACAAACCCACCAATAAGCACAATAGTTGCAAACACATAGAGCCCTGCGTTCATGTATTCTGCCCTGGATTTAGATAGCCTTGGCCCATACATTCGAATCTCTCTAGCTGATGCTAGCTTCACCATTGTCAACAAATATTTTGCAGTGCTAAAAGGACACGAGAAATTCAAGAATTGTAATATAGACTTGAAAAATTTGAACTATATCTTTGAAAGTTTTGAACAAGATGGAATCAATATGTTGTGTAGGGTTGAGGATACGTGTCTTCTTGCATGGAACTCGTATTTTTGAACGTCGAATTTGTGACAAGCGGCAATCTTACCAAAATATAAAATGATAAATTTAGACAGAAGTACAAAACGTGGAGGTCACATAGTGACATGTTGTCATGCTACGATTATAAGAAATACAAGATAGTCTACGCTTTTGTATCCAAAACTAATTAGTTTGTTGAAGGTTTAAGATGATTGTAGGATTGAGAAAGCAATAGTTGTTCTTACCTAATGCTTAGATTAGTGTTTAGGGAGGATAACTTCGTTATAAATTGATCATGTTCGAGTGGCGTGCCAAAAATCTGTTTGTTTACAATGAAATTTTTTTAATAAAAGACCTCCCTCCTGTTATGCCTCTATGTAGAATATCGAACATATCCAATCTGGAATATGACTCAAACCAAAGTTTAGATTGTGAATTTGTTAGTAAATCTGTATAAATCTTAAGATGATATTGTTTTAAAAAATACTTTAAATTGGACTAATTAAATTTTATTTAAATTTGATTACATCAATTTAATCGATAAAATTTAATGAGATTAATTTTTAAATTTATTTAAAATAAAACTCTATACACGAGCACGCCCATTAGTTTCTCTCTTCCTCTCCTACACTTTGAGTGTGATTGCTACTGAAGTTGGCATATGCTGAACATAATCAGCCCAAGAAGAAAATGTTTGGCTTTTAAAGCAGTGTTTTTAAATTGATTTGATGATTGATCTAGTTTAAGAGTCGTGTCATGGATTTTAATTAAGTTATCAAGTTTTGATCGAATTATCAAGTTAATTTTATTTTTTTTATAAATTAAAAAAATATTATTTTAATAAAAAAATAAACAAGTTACAATAAAATTTTTAATTATTTTTGTCAAGTCAACCAGATTTTTAATTATATTTTTTTTTTTATAATTTAGCCTAGTTTTAGTTTCATATTAGCTAAATTTCAGATTAATTTATTGAACCGAGTTTTAAAAAAACTATGTTTTGAAGCTGTAACATACCTCAATTATAATATGTAAAATTGACTTATCGGTCGTATGTCTAATGTTTTTATTAGTAAATTAAGTTAGAATTCAGTTTATTTTAGTCCACTTAATTATAATATATCAAAGACTATTCTGACGTGTAACTTAAGATTCTTGTAGGGTTTCTTTTTCCTTTCTGTTATATACTTTTAAGCTCGTAATAATAGTAATAATAATAATAATAATAAAGCATTACTAAAAGAAGAAGAAACCAAGCAGGATCTGAAATCTTTTTCATGTCATGATAGACGACTTTCTTTTGTTAGATTAAAGAGGGTCAAATTAACGCTGTACTTTAGCAGAGGATTGAAGACGATAAAGTTCATTGTAGTCCTTGTTGGTTTATATTTTACGACTTAGTCGTTGAATATTAATGTTATTCATCCTTGACTTGATAATCTCATGATTATTGTAATTATGCATCTCGATCTTGGACATTATTCTTAGAGATGGCAATTGGCTCCGCTTCAATCCAAATATATAGTTTTTTTAATTGTATTTAATAAATATAATTTATAACAATGCCCCTGAATATATACCCTTAGAATCTACAATAAAACTAATATAAAAGGATAAAAAAATGATTAGATGAGAGTTTTATTGGTTGTCTTTAAAAACATCAAAACAATTATATTATTCTAAAAATATAAAAATATATCTGAGTAATAGGCATTAAATTATTTTATTCTTAGGCTAAGTTAGTAGTTTTACTATAAAAAAGATAAAATTACTAATTTAACCCTATATAATTTGTAAGAAATAATTGTGTCATTGTGAAATGACCACTTTGTCTGCAATTGCCTGGTTCAGATTTATTTTTTTTTGTTTATGAATAATTTCATAGTTTTACTATGATAATATTTGTGAACAATAATTTTTTCTATGAAAATTAGTTTTTTTTTTAATTTAATTTATTGTATGTGGATCGTGGATAATCTATTTTAAATTTGAAAGTTCAAGACTATTTAAAAATATCATTATTCTTTGCTCATTTTTAATTAGAAATTAAAAACATATCATATTATGAATTTACTTTACTAATTTTAATGTGGCTCATTCAATTAGGGGTGAAAAAACGCTTTGCTTAGCTCAATAGAAACCTTGCAATTTACCTCCGATGGATGTGGAGATGGAGGAGGAGGCGAGGCGGCGATGCATCCTTAAATGATTCATTTGGGATGTTGCCGGCCCATCTTCACAAAGTCAGGCCCATTTTCTTTAGCACTAGTTAGGCCTACTTAGTTGATTCCCTAAAACTGAATGGATAGCCCAAAACGCTCAATAGAAATCGGAGGGCCGAAAACAGTGTGGCCCATTTTCTTTAGCACTAACCCGTCCTACTTAGTTGATTTTCTAAAACTGAATAGATAGCCCAGATCATATCATAATCCAACAAATGTATAAAGGTAAGGCTCTGTTTGGTTCGTTTGTGTTCGTGAGCTGAGCAATTCAAATTTTTTAAAATAGATTTTCTTGGTTCGGTTTTTTTTAAAAAAAAAAATTAGAAATGCTACGTCAGTAAAGCATGTAAAATAGATAAATATGTCTCTCACTTCTCTTATAATAAGCTAAGATGGATGCTTTTATGATAAATACCAAGGAAAAATTACCTAAATCTTCTCGACATGGCATGGAAAATTCATCTTCTTTTTGGGAAAGAAAATACAGAAACGATGATAAAATGCCTCTCAAATATATAGTTTCTTGGAAGAATATTGGTATTATGAATATTAAATTGATTATGATAGTATTTTTAAACCTTTTTATTAATCAATTTTATATATACGACCCAGTTTAACCTTTTAAAAGATATATAATGTTAAAAAATCTTATTCAAATCTTATTCACGTGTTGTAAAAATATTAAACTAATAACAACGATAACAATAATTTATATTTGGTATTATAATTTAATTATATTTTTATTTTTTATATTTTTAGATTGTTTTGATATATTAATTTTAAAATAAATTTTTAAAAATAAAAAATTATTTTAATATATTTTTAAATAAAAATACTTTAAAAATAAGATCTCACTTAATCTTCGCTTTTAAAAATAAAAAAGTATTTTAATATATTTTTAAATAAAAATACTTTAAAAATAAGATCTCACTTAATCTTCGCACACATGTAATTTTGCCTCTCGTTTTTGGAATTTCACTCCTTTAAATGGTCACAATTAAGAAACGTAGAGAGCGCTAAGACCACCACAAAAATTCCAGGGTCCAATAAACAAATTGTCAGCAATGCACGCAGTCAAAACCATCCACGTGTAGAAAACATTATCCACAAACTCTCTACAAAAAATCTTCCCTTTCTCTCCTAACTTGCCACGTAAGTCCGCCATGCTTCACCACTCGCCACGGCCTGTCCCACTATCATACCTGGACACTTCTCCACCGTTGTTTAGAACGACCCCAACTTTCTAGCCGTTGATTATTAAGGAAAATAACTGGTGGACACCATAATTTACGAGCTGATGTTAAAATTTGAGTTTGTGGAAACTTTCTGCGTGCTTGTATTTCTAACAAGATTTGCCTGTTACAAGAGAGCAAGATTTTGTTCCAACTCTTACAGGCTACTGCTCTTTTCACAGAGGTATGCACGGATTCTTATGTCGTAGTATGTTGTAATGTTTTTATCCTTCTTGTTTCTTCGTGGGATTTTTTTTCCTTGTGTGTATTCGTTGCTTAGTTATTGCAAAATTTTGTTGCTGTTTTTAATGTTTTCTTGGTGATGACATTGTTAGTGTTCTGTAAATACAATAAGTATCCCTTGAAAGATTAGCCTGGTGCTAAGAGGGTATTCTTTGAGGGTTTTGTATGATGTTTTAATGGTGATTTTGGAACAGTTTGCTGGAAATTCTTAGATCTTTCCGCTGGGGTTGTATTTCTTGATTTGCAATCATTTGTATACTGCTATTTATCCTGAAGGAAACTTAAATGGCCAAAATTTGTTGAAGGTTGTACGGATTTCAATGGAAATTTGTTTTTTTGATGGTTAATATTCTTGTTGATGCATGTGATCCAAGAGGGCAAACCATAATGCACACAAAATAAATGATTTTATTTTTGTTGAAACTTTGCCGCCACTACTTGATTAGGAGAAATTTCGAACAATTTATCCAAAACTAAGGACTCGGGTATTCGAATTATGTGATTTTGTGTATGCGTATGTTGCGGCGAGTGAAGTTATAAACTCCAACTAAATGCAACATTTTTGTTTGCAGTGTTTGTGCAGTGAGAAAGTTCTCATACTCTTTCAAAATCTTGTAATAACACAACTTGGCATGGGAGTTGTAAGTGTTTCGAGCTCAGCTTCTCGGACACCACTAGGATTGAGCACAAAGTTTTCAACTTACGGATCTACAGCAAAAAGGCCTTTGATTGTAGCATTTAAAGCCGACAAATCCAGCAACCCATCTTTCGTCGCACCACATGAGCAAATTCCATTGCCCATAGAAACAACGAAGGGGAAGAAGAGACTTGGAAAAAGCAAAAAATCTTCTAATAGATTAAAAGCTGTCCGTACTGAAGTTTCTCCGTGTACATTGTTAGTGGATTACAATGAAGCTGCTGCGAAACTTGAAAACATATACAAGCTTAGCCCTGGAACTGATACCTCTGATGTGGAAGACGCAAGTGGTGTGATTAGGAGAGGTAGGCAAAGGAAAAGGAAAATTAGTGAAGGTGACAAAGAAGCCGAGGATAGAACTAGTAAAATCATTGTTAGGAACCGGGCAAAGAAGGCTAAACGATTGAGCCTTGAGAAAAGGATTTCTCTGAGGATCAAGAATGAAGAGAAATTGGTGACTTCAGCTGGGAAGAGAAAAGATCGAAAAAATGAAAATGAAAAGATTGATGAGCTTCTGAGGGAGTATTCGGCTTCAACTGATTTGGTCAGCTTGGACTGGAAAAAAATGAAGATACCTCCGGTCCTTACTTCATCAGAGCATGTCTGGTTATTTAAGTTGATGCAGCCTATGAAAGTGAGTACTGACCCTTGCCCCTGATGCCTTTCAAGTTTTGCATATAGGTTGTGTTTTTTTGCTGTCAGAATAGGTAGTTTTCTGGGGCTTAGTTCCATTTCTTTTATATTAGGCACTCCTTCAAGTGAAAGAGCATCTGCAAGAAAATCTGGGGAGAGAACCAACTGACGTTGAATTAGCTAAAGCAACAACTATGGATGTGCTCCAAGTAAGAAAGCAAATAGCAGTTGGTCGAGCTGCAAGGAACAAGCTCATTAAGGTAATGATTTATTTCCAAATAGTGACATCGACTTGTATTAAAGTAACTCAATTTATTGAGGAAGCATGGGCTTTCATAGTAATAATAGATCAAAGAAATTATACAGGATTTTGGTGCTTGTCGAGTATTTTTGTTTTCTTTTAACTCTAAGTCAGAAGACATTGCCAGTGCCCTTTCTGATGCTTAAGGACTTAAATGACTTGGGATAAAAAGATTTACTGTAAATTCTCAATGCTTTTGCAGCACAATCTTCGGCTTGTATTGTTTGTGATCAAAAAATATTTTCAAGACTTTGCAAATGGGACAAAATTTCAAGATCTTTGTCAGGCGGGAGTGAAGGGACTTATTACAGCAATTGATCGCTTTGAACCCAAAAGGAGATTCCGGCTCTCCACTTATGGGCTATTTTGGATTAGACATGCCATCATACGATCAATGACACTCTCAAGCTTTACACGCGTTTCGTTTGGCCTGGAATCGGTATGATATTTTCAGACACATGACTTGGTTTTCCTTTTTGCTGAACATCACAATAATTTACACATTTTCCTTTTGTTTCTAGTTGCAAGAAAGCACCAAATAACTGTTTGAAGCTCTTGCCCTCCTTGGAGCAGGGAGAGTGGAGTGTTCTTGGTAGAGATTGAGAAATTCATCATTCAAAGAAATAGGACACTGAATCAACTTAAATTTGTGAACTAGGCTGTTGATCTGCAAGAAAGGAACAGTAATCTTAGGTTAGCACCATAGTAGGCCAAATATTTGAATTTTCTCAACCTAGATACACGTCATCATGAAATTGACCACAATAGCAATGTGCATGGTAAGAGGCCAAGTATTGTGAATGTTATGATGCACCATGTCCAGTTCTTTAGTTTTAATTCTGCATCTAATGTGCGCTGGTTAGGGAGTTTGAATGGAAAACATTGCATATATTCATTCCAGAACTATTACTTCCATTGAATTCAATGTATGCAGCTAGTGTTGGTTGCTCAGTGGGATCATGCTGTAACACCCAACTTCAACTTGTGCAGATTAGGTCTGAAATCCAGAAAGCAAAACTTGAATTGTGGTTTCAACTTAAAAGACAACCAATGGAGGATGAGATTATTGAAAAAGTTCGGATCTCCCCTGAGAGGTACCATGAAGTGACGAGGGCCTCAAAACCTGTTTTGTCTCTCCATTCAAGACACAAAACAACGCAGGAAGAGTTTATTGGTGGAATTGCTGATGTTGATGGAGGTGATGACCGGAGGCAGTCAGCTCTTCTCAGGCTTGCACTTGACGATGTGGTAAGCAGTCATTATATGTTCCCTCAGATTTTATACTTCATTTCTTTCTCTCATTAATTGTTTATCCTCGATTGAATCAAGATCACTATGTTCTGCAGAATGTTCACAAGTGCAAAACCCTTAACTAACAGTTCTCTTGAGAACTCTTCCACAAGCATTATTATTTCCTTAATCTTTTAACTGGTACTTTATACCAATATATATAAAATTCATTGCATATAGAAGCTAATGTAATTTTATACGTCCGTGCATTTTGTAGAAAAGCTCCTAGAGATATTAATTAATTAAGTGGAAGAACATGAAAAGCAAAATGTTCAGCTGTCAGTGCAATTGACATTATTAGGTGGTTTAATTCATTGATAGTAATGCGTATCTAATCTCTGAAAATCCTCTCCAGCTTGATTCTCTAAAACCAAAGGAGAGCTTAGTGGTCCGACAGAGATACGGGCTTGATGGTAAAGGAGATAGAACATTAGGAGAGATTGCTGGGAACTTAAATATCTCCAGAGAAATGGTCAGGAAGCACGAAGTAAAAGCACTCATGAAGCTCAAACATCCAACTAGAGTGGATTATCTTCGCCGCTATGTTGTCTGAATTGATCAGAAACACAAGGTTCGCATAAACAACTCTCTCCCTCTGGATGATTCCTCGTCACCAATCATTGCTGTATACTAATGTTCTGTCTCATAGGCATATTTAACTACATGAGAATAGACAAGATAGAGTTTGAGATTTCAGGTTACCACTTATACGTGTAATGTTGCCTGTGCTATATAATACAGTGATATCTTATACAGTTCACAAGCGTACTCTTTAACGTTTCAGACAATTGACTGTGTACAAACCTGAATAGAGATTGCAGGGAGGCGAGTTTGGGGTGGGGTGGAAAGCCTGTGGTTTCCCTGTTAATTTACAAAAAAAATATTTTTGAATTTAATAGTTAACATGTAATAAAAAACTAATATTAATTTTATATTAATATTAAATCTTACAACAACTCTTATACATGGTTAAATATAAATGATTAAAATACAAATTCAACAAAAAAATTATTTTGAAATACCAATTATTTTAGATATATTCGAGATGAAGGACAAAATTAATAAATTTTATAATAACTCTTTACATAGTTAAATATAATTAATTAAAATATAAATTCAACAAAAAATTATTTTGAAATATCAATGAAATACCAAAAACAATATATATACACACACTATAGGAAAAGGGTAAAATATTGTGCACATAGACTCAACATCAACTATAATATTGTAATTATTATTTTTTTTCTTTCAAAAAAATAAATAATAAATTAATTTTTTTTAGTGTTGAGGGTATTTTAGTATTTTTAAATAGTTTATTGATCATTAAAGAATTAATCAAGGGTAAAGTTGTTTTTAATATTATTTAAACTGAAAAAGTTATTGGTATTTTAATGAGACGTATGGTGTCTCCTGACAGTCAAAAACACCCTTCCATTAAGTCATTTTATTTGTTACTGTTGAGTAGTTTTTTGCCCACTAAGTTTTTTTCTCCCTTCTCTCTTGCTCTTAAAAATTTCAGTTTAGTCTTTGTTATTATAATTTTAACTTTAGTTTTTATTCTTAATCATTTTATAAAAATTTTATTTGTTTTTAGTTTCATTCTTCAATCCCAATTTTTTATATATAACTTTTTTCAATTTTTCCTTTTTTTTGGTCTCTCTGTGAAAAAATTATTTGTTTTTAATTTTACTATTCAATCCAAATTTATAATATATTTTTTTAATTTGATCCATTATTTTGTCCTTTTGTTTATATTATTTTTTTCTTTTAATTTCATTTTTCATTCGAAAATTTATAGTTTCCCTCTAATTTGTTTATTTTTATTTTAGTTTTATTCTTATTCTTTTAATTCTTATTTTTTGTTTTAAATCTTTTTATATAATGGATTTCCTCCAACTTCATCCTTCAATATTTGATTTGTTAGTAATTAAGCTTAGTAGTATTTCCATGAATGGTGCTTTTAGTTTAAAAAATTAACATGAGCTTATATTTGTTTTTTTACTCTTTGTTTTTCTAATTTCAACATTCAACAATAGTAATGGTCTTATAGTTTTTATTTTATTTTATTTTATTTATATTGAGTTATTCTAATCTTGTGACCTAGATTGCGGATATGAGCTTGCCTTTTATTAACAAGACCACATGTTTATCATGCTAATTAAGGTTGATTTGGGTTGATTTTTTTTATTTTTTTTAGCAAATTTTATTATTTTATATTTATTTGATTGAAAATTAAATTGTATCATTTTTCCCCTCATGGAAAAATGTTCTAAAGTTATCATATTTTTTTTATAAAAAAAATTAATCCATCTATTGCTTTTTTTATATCATATAATTAGAAAAAATCAACTTATTTAACCAGTTGAGGATATATAATCCAATTCTAAATTATTATTTTTTATTAAAAAAATGTGTTTACATAACCTTAAAATTGGTTTTTTAATAAAAAAAGTAATATGGGAAGCCATATCTATATTTGGGTTTGGGTTCTCTACGGGACCGGAGGCATGTATCCTGTCGTCGTCCATTTGCTAAAATGCCTCCCATACATAATCCATCAGATTGGATCTTGTTGGGTATAATTGAGGACCTACACTACAATGAACAATGCTCAGTGGCCCTGTAGAACGGTGTTGTAAATCCAATAACTCAAATAGGGTTCAAGCTTTGGTAACTGCTAGCCTCTTCGGACCAGCATGTGTGGTCAAGCTGGAGAATTGTTCTTCAAGCCAGGCCTGGTTCCTCATCAGACTGCCAGGGCCCAGGGGCAAATCCAGTAAAAAGCAATTTGGCTCGTATTGCTGGCACCCTATGTAAAATTTTGGGCTTATGTGATGCATATCCACTCGACCGTCCGTTAAACAACGGTCTCATCTGGAGAAATTATGAATAATCCACTTGATTAGCAGAAGAATTCTTATCTTGACAAGGTGACAGAACTATTTTTTTATATATAACTTTTAGTAGATTTTCTTTGTTGGCAAAAATTTCTGATAATGTTATAAAATATTCAAAATAGGGTTTTAAAGTTAGATAATCAATTAATTAATGGACATAATAATCTCATTTATTTTTTTTCATTGTAGTGGTTGATAGTTTATATATAGTATTTTGTTAGTCAAAATGTGGCTAGTACTTATAAATAGATTTTTTAATAGAGATAGAGATTTTTCAATACTTAAATAAATATCTCTTTAAAGAAAAAATAAAATAATATTTTAGAGAAAAATATTCTAAAAATATATATACAATAGAAAATAAAAATTATGAATTTTCATTTTAAAAGTATTATAGTATATTTATAAGCCCACAAATTTTATCTTTTTATGAAGGGAATAGTGTAGAATGTAGTTTTACTTTGATAGTTTTTAATAAGTAACAAATATTTCTTATATTTATATTATTATTTGATATAAATATAATAAGTTTTTAAAGGAGGATTTTTATATATTTAAAAATATAGAAGATTAAAATTTAAGACGTTAAATGTAACTAAGTTCATAAAAACTAAGATTTTTTTAACTAAATTTAAAAGCAAAAGGATTTTTTTTTTTGGTTGAACATGAGAAAAGCTGATTCCATCTCTTTTTTAGCTCAAAAGAGACTAGGTTCGTTATTTGAACACGCTTAAGGAAAAAGGATCCTTCCCTTGAATGTGTCCAAGAGAAAAAAATATCACTTTTTTGGATATATCTAAGGAAGGATGTTTATATTTTACAGGGGGTGCTCAATGGAGGTTGAGGCCACCATTGAAGCGTGCCTAAGATTCTCTTAGATGTGCCTAAAGAAAAAGAGTCATTGTCTTGAACGTTCATTTTCTTGGATGGTACGAGAAAGATAGGATTCAAAAGACAAGAGTCATTATTTTTTTGGGGACATGCCCAAGAAAAAATTATCACTCTGTACTGAGCTCAAAAAATCCGTCTTTTAGCCGAGTACAGGAGAGAAAGAATGAGAGATTTTGTAGCCATTTTAAATTTAAGTTTTTCACTGTTATCACGCCAGTAATTTACTCATCTTTCGATGAGGCATAAAAAAAAAAAAAAAAAACTTTTGTCAAAAGCTAGTAGATTGGTTCATGGGAAGGACAATGTCAGACTGAGCACATGGCATCTCATTGGTCAGTTGGGAGTTGGGAAGAGAAAACAAGAGAAAAAAAATACAAGGATTTATGCTGGAAATGGTTTGTTGATGGGGCAGGCACTGGATTTACAGCCCCATTGAGAATTGGCAACCATTGTTTACATGAAGGAAGCTGAACAGCTGTGGATAAGCGAAGCCATGACCACGAAGAGGGGCGCTATTAAGCTAGTTCCTAGGGCCATAAATATATATATATATATATATATATATATAAAAGAAGGAAAATTGCTCCTAATATTGTAAAGAATTTGTCTGTCGAAGCCCCTCGATTTATCCTAAGATTTGGTAAACTTAATGGAACTTAATTGTTCATATACTGGAAGACTTGGAAAACTTAATGGAACTTCATTTTTATCCTTTTTTTCTTTTCAATTTAATCTCTATTTTTTTAATTTTATTTTCCTTTTCTTTTCATTTCATTAATGTTTCTTATTCTTATTCTAATTTTTTTTTAACAATAATCCATGTTATCTTTAGCTACTGAATTATATTAAGAAATTTTCATGGTTTAATTTTAAATCTAGAATAGACGAAAAGTTAGGTTTATAGTTTTTTTTCTTATTAAATTTTTTATTTTTTTTAAATTTTATTTTTAAATATTTTTTTATTAATAAAAAAATTATTTTTGGATTGATCAAATCATCTGAATCATATCGAGAAAAAAAGTAGTTCATAAAGATTTTTTTTATATTTTTTATATTTTTTTTATAAATTTTTTTCTTAATTGTTTTATATTGTTTTTAAATTTGATATGATGAAGTATAGCGCAACTCGGTAAACTGGTGTTTTGCTATGAGTACATTGGCCTCCAATATATGGAAAAATTAAGATTGCATCTCATATTGTAAAATAAAAGCATGAAAAAACAGCTAATTCGCCAAAAAAAAATAAGGAAAAAAAGTCTTGTATTGTGAAACGCTCTAACCTCCTCACGTGAGACCCGGTCGGTCAAGTGCAATCTTTTTTATTTAATTTTTTTTTTATCAAACCCACTCTATTTTATTTTAAAAAACAAATAAACAATTTCATTTCAGGAATAATTTAGCAAACCCCCGTCCCGGATCTGAGGCCAGCTCAGTAAGTTGAGATTAAAATTAGTAATTTTTGTGTATCAAATTTGATTTTGAAAATTAGTCTATGGAGTATTTAAAAAAAGGGGATGTGTTGCAACTTCAGAATATATTTATAACACACAGTCGTTAATTGAACTATTTACATAGAATCTAAGATTCCATTTCACCACCGGATAACATGAATATTAAAAACTCTTAAATTAAAAACCATGAACATCATCTCTAGAATTTAAATGTGCCTTGAAGTTGAAGGGCAATGCCTCCTTTGCTCCTATCCAAAGGAGAGGCCATACCTTGGCCGCTGGAAGGATTTATCTTTCCGAAGAAAAGTTTCGTTAATTAAGTCTCTGCTGACAAAAGAAACGAAACAAAACGCTGCACAAATTTTAGAAGCCAAACAACAACGTACAAATACAAAAGGGAACAATCAACAAAATTAATCAAGAACCTATTTGAAAAACATTGCAAATTAATGCCTAACGATAGGTCTTAGACTTCGCTTTGCTATGCAATCTTCGTTTCTCAGCAAACCCTTCACGGTGTT